TGTTGATAAATCGTCCACCAATCTTGACCCCACATTTCTCCTCATAGAGCCCAGCCTCCCAGATAATCTGTTCTGCATATAGTTGAAAAGGTATGGAGATAGGATGCATCCCTGGTGTATGCCCTTCCCAATTTTGAACCATGCAGTGTTCCCTTGCTCTGTTCGGACGACTGCCTCCTGGTCCAAGTATAAGTTTTGCATTAGAACCATCAAGTGTTCTGGGATTCCCATTCTTTTCAGAGTCAGCCATAGTTTGTTATGATCTACACAGTCACATGCCTTTGCATAGTCAATGAAACACAGATAGACATTCCTCTGGTATTCCCTGCTTTCAGCCAAGATCTATCTAACATCAGCTACAATATCCCTAGTACCACGACCCCTTCTAAACCCAGCTTGGACTTCTGGCAGTTCTCTGTTGATGGGCTCTCTAGAGAGTCAAATTTGAGTTGGTTCTGACTTAATAGCACATAACCATAGCATATTATTTAGAGAGCTCTGATGACCTAGTGGGTAAGGACTTGTGCTGCCTCTCTAAAGGGAGGAGTTCAAATCTGCCAGCTGTTCTAGGGGAGAAAGATGAGTGATCTCCTCTCATGTGATTTACGGCCTCTGAAAACATGATGATGAATCAGCTGTGAGTCCTTTCTGACTCCATTATACTTAACAGTATTGTTTACAATTGTTTAATACGTTTAATCACTACAATGAGGTTAGAAGAGTCACTGAGGAAACTCAGCCTTGTAGGGGTGTTTGTTGTTGTTGTTGTTGTGTGCTGTCGAGTCGCTTGCGACTCATAGCGACCCTATGTACAACAGCCCTAACTCTGCTCTGTTCTGTGCCAATCGCACTGTCTCTGACAGAAATCCAGGCCAATCATATTCTTAATTACCAGTATTGATAATACTGAAAAGGCAATAAGTCATTGAGTTTAAGAGTACAGGTTCTGTGGTATCCCTGCCTGGATTTGAACCCTGAGTGTGCTACTGAAGAGCTATTTTTATTTCAGCAAGGTATTTCAATTTTTTTTTTTTTTAAGTAGAAGATAGTATATTCCTACCTGGCATAGACATCATGATGATCAAATAAATCATCAAATATGAAGTGTTCATGGCATTATTGTACTCTATAATTTCATTTATAAACAATAATTCAGAACTGTGCAACTGATTTAAAATATTAGCTCACCGACTCCACTAATCAGATAGCTTGAAAGTAGGTAGAGAGGTTGTGTTTTAATATATTCTCTACCTTGACCTTTCTCAGTCCCGTCTTTCAGCTTTCTTTTAGCACAGTGGTCACATGGAGGCAAAGCTAAACTATCTATTTCACCTACTAAACTCACGAATTAATACTTTATTTTATGTATTTTTTAGGACATTTCTGATTCATTTGCATCTTTGAAGAAAAGCTGTAGAAGAGAAAGAAAAAAAATGGGTGTGAAAACATTTACTCATAGCTCCACTTCCCACTGCCAGGAGATGCTTGGAAAGCTAAATATGCTGCGAAATGATGGACATTTCTGTGATATCACTATACGTGTCCAGGACAAAATTTTCCGGGCTCACAAGGTGGTACTAGCAGCTTGCAGTGATTTCTTTCGCACCAAACTTGTGGGCCAAGAAGAGGATGAGAGCAAGAATGTGTTGGATTTACATCATGTTACAGTGACTGGCTTCATACCCCTTTTAGAGTATGCTTACACAGCTACTCTGTCCATTAACACGGAAAATATTATTGATGTTCTAGCTGCAGCTAGTTATATGCAAATGTTTAGTGTTGCTAGCACCTGTTCGGAGTTCATGAAATCAAGCATTTTGTGGAATACACCCAACAGCCAACCAGAAAAGGGTCTAGATGCTGGACAAGAAAGCAGTTCTAACTGCAATTTTACGTCTCGAGATGGAAGCATTTCCCCAGTCTCTTCAGAGTGCAGTGTGGTAGAAAGAACCATTCCTGTTTGCCGAGAATCTCGGAGGAAGCGCAAAAGCTACATCGTTATGTCTCCTGAAAGTCCTGTGAAGTGTAGCACACAGACTAGTTCACCCCAGATATTAAATTCTTCAGCTTCCTATTCCGAAAGTAGAAATCAACCAGTTGACTCTTCGTTAGCTTTTCCCTGGACGTTTCCATTCGGAATTGATCGAAGGATTCAGCCTGAGAAGGTTAAGCAGGTAGAAGGTACTCGGACTTCAGAATTACCTGGCCCCTCAGAGACAGACAGAAGAGTGGCTGATTATGTGACTTGTGAGAGTACAAAAACTACCTTGCCTCTGGGTCCTGAAGAAGATGTCCAGGTCAAAGTAGAAAGGTTAAGTGATGAGGAGGTTCACGAGGAAGTGTCCCAGCCCATCAGTGCATCTCAGAGTTCACTGAGTGATCAACAGACAGTGCCAGGAAGTGAACAAGTCCAAGAGGACCTCCTCATTAGTCCACAGTCTTCCTCTATAGGTATAACGTTTTTTGTGGTTTTTTGTAATGCTATAGTAAATTCAGCATTTTTAAATGCTTGTTAGATAAGTTTTTATATTGAATCCTATATGAATATAAAGAAGAGTGAAACATATTAGATGGATTTTTTGAAGTGCCAACAGCACTTCACTTATTTTTCACAAGTTATTCATTAGAGAAGAGAAAAATAGTTGAACAATATCATAATGAAATAAAGGCATGCAGTCAGAATCTTTAATTATTTTCCATGCAGAAGTACCAGTTTTTTAAACATCTGATTAGTCTCTTTTTCTTTATTAACATGTTTATTAAAAATGGAACCATCTGCCTGAGGATACAGGTTGAAAACAATAGTTTCTGCTGCTACAGAGTTAAAGGTATAATTAAGAAGTAGGTGTGTAAATAAATGATTATATGAAATATTAAAAATGCTAGACCAGAGATAAGAAAGAGCAGGTTATTGACACTATTTGAGCTGGTTCTAGTAAGTAAGTGTTGTTTGCCTAGCAGAGGAAATGGCATTTCTATGGTTTGGTATAGTTGGTTGTTGCTTGTTTGGTTTTGTTTATAAAATCACCGAAATGTGGAAGAATTTTGCATATTTTATAAAACTACTGAATTCAGTATGAAAACATTTGAGTAAAGCATAAATACCTAAACATCATCGAGAATAATGAAAGACAGAAAACAGTGATGGGGAGCATAATGTGAAGAGCCTTGCACACTAGCTTCAGTTAATCTTACTTTCAACTGTATATAACAGAATTCCTTCTAAAATGGCTAAAAGCAAGATAGCATGTTTGTTACTTAAATGTCCAGAAATAAGAAATACAGAAGTGTTATAATGGCTGTACAATACGGCTAGTGTTCCAGGTCTTTTTTTTAATATATAAAATCGATCATCCTTTAGCTCGTGGGTTTTTTCTGCATCCTTATTGGCTTGTAGTTACTTTGTCTTCAGCCTGGCGTTTTTATCAGTGAAGCACAGATGTTCCCAGACATCCCTTGAAGACACTCTAGACCTGTCATTTGATCTTTCTTAGCTTCAAGAGAATCTGGGAAGACATGTATATTAGTAGTTACACACAGTTTCCTAGGGCTGTCGTAACAAAATACCATGGAGTAGGTGACTTTGAACAACAGAAATGATTGCTCTGTGGTGTTGCATACTTGTAGTCCCAATTCAGATTGTTAGCAGGGTCATGTTGTATCTCAGGGCTCTAGGGAAAATCCTTTTTTAGGGAAGATCCTTCAGGGAAAGATCTCTCGGTTCTAGCATGCTTTTGTGTGCTGCTGAATAACTTTAATCTCTGCCATTGTCTTTGGAGACGTGTCCAGGTAGAACTGTGCTGCATGGGGTTTTCAGAGCTGGTTTTTCAGTAGACTCTTCTTCAGGTCTGAGTGGATGTATATTCAAATTTGTAGCCTAGCATCTGAGTGAGCACCATAGCCATTTGCATCACCCAGGAGTTCCTTTTTCTGTTAAGAAAAGTAACAAAATATACTGCTGCTGCTATTGTTATGTTGTGCTGTCAAATCGCTTGCAACTCTTAGCGACCCTATGTACAACAGCCCTAAACCCTGCTCTCTCCTGTGCCAGACTGACTGTTTCTGACACAACACATCTAACCCCATTCATTACCCCAGTGATGGAATCAGTCCATCTCATCGGAGGTCTTCCTCTCCTGCACCGTCCCTCCACCCTCCCAAGCGTGGCGGCCATCTCCAAAAACTGGTCCCTCCTTACACCATGTCCAGAGTATGTCAGATGAAGCTTCAGAATCCTTACCTCCAAGGAGCAGCCTGGCTTCACCCTCTCCAGGACAAACTTCTTTTTTCTCCTAGCAGTCCATGGTATATTCAATACTCCAACACCAACGTTCAAAGGTATCAACTCTCCTATCATCCCTAGTCATTGTCCACCTCTCTGAAGCATAGCAAGTAGTGACAGAGACCATGGACCGTATCAGGTGCACCTTAGTCTCCAGACTGACGTTGTTGCTCCTCAGTACCTTGGAGAGGTTTCTGACAGCAGACTTTGCCAGTGCAGTTCATCTTTTGATTTCCTGGATGCTGATACCAAGAGTGTTGATTGTAGAACCAAGCAAACTAAAGCTTTCAACAGTCTCAATCTCTTCAACATCTATCATGATGCTGCCAATCGGCCCAGTGGTAAGAATCTTTGTTTTCTTGACATTGAGCTTCAATTCATATTGAAGTCTGCAATC